AAACACTTTCTTCATACATTCACCTGCATAATCTCTTATGTATTTTCATTCGAAAATAAAAATTACATCTGAGAAAAAAATTGCAATAAATGTAACAAGGATCCACAAACGGATTTATGTGAAATAGGTCCTGCTGTCATACACAAGAGTTCAATAAATTTGCGCTCAAATTTTAGTGACGCAGAATTACTTCGGTTTACGTTGCTCAGAATTAAGGACAATATATCACGTGTCTGACCAATAGATGTCGCTCTACAATCTCCCACTTATTCGCTTATTGATTGGTGCTTTACCGTACTTTTGGAAGTTTTTACACGACATCCCATTTATAAAAAAATCGCTTAAGCCCTAACCCAACGAATATAGAAGTTTTCTATTGTAGAGTTTCAATAATATTCAGAAATAGATTACAGGATAGATATCCATTTTTGTGCTTAAATTTCATGACACTTTCGAATGATGGGTTATATAGCACGATGTCACTATTGAGACCGGTAATAGTTTATCTGACTCATTTCTTTCGATGCTGCATAAACTGTTTACGAAATTAATTCCGTTATGTTATTTACAGTAGGAGTTTGAGTACAGAAATCTCAATAAAAATGAAGTGTATAGTGAGTCGTCGGCTTTTATGACTTGACCATCAATCATGCTGGTATATTTGGCACTTCTCTCTAGAATTATTTAGTTGCGTCAAAAGACATCATATAAACTTTACGTAAGGACGGCAGCAATGACCAACTGTTAACAAGGATATATAAACAAACATCGCCCTGATGAAGGAGGCAGTATGACCTCTGAAACGTCGGTAAACATCGACCAGACTACACAGCGCAACAACCCAGAAGACGGAAATCTTCATACTCTGATGACGGAGGCAGTATGACCTCTGAAACGTCGGTAAACATCGACCAGACTACACAGCGCAACAACCCAGAAGACGGAAATCTTCATACTCTGATGACGGAGGCAGTATGACCTCTGAAACGTCGGTAAACATCGACCAGACTACACAGCGCAACAACCCAGAAGACAGAAATCTTCAACAAACATGTTGTTTATTGCTAAACCGGAAATATTGTTATAAAGGAATAATTTGCTGAAATAAGCTGTCTCGTAAATGAAATGCAACATTAAATTATTAATTATAAAAGAAAAAAAGGTAATGTAAAAGTAAAGTGATACGTGGGTGTGTCTCAAAATCCCGCCACTGCTACTTTGAACCCGGATAAGAAAAAGAAACCTGGTACCAAATGGATGGTTCCCAGCCAAATTTCTATCACTTTCGAGAATCTAACACTGGTAATCCAACAAGTAGTCTAACTAGTATAAGCCTAATCTATTTATAAATGGTTATAAACATAAAAATAAACAATTTGAGTAAACTATTAAGGTAATGTAATTCCAATGTTGTGTTCTGCAGCGGTTAAGTCAAAATCGAATAAAATAACTAGATATGTGCCCAGGAAATGTTTTGTATGAATTACGTAGTATAACGCATGTATAATCTTAGTTGTGTTTGTATTTGCACGTCAGACACGTTTACACACGTACAAATGAATTCCTCTTCACTTTGTGTCTTTTCAAGTTTATTTTACGAGAGAAGTCTACAGCATAAAGAGCTCTTGGTTAATTTATATTCATATATATTCATTGCTTAAGTCTTTATGAAAATTCATTACATTTTACGACACATACCACTTAAACAAAACTTTTAAACAGGCTGTATGGTACTATATTTACACGGCAAGCCATACAAAACAAGTCCTTAGATTTCAAACGTTCGGATTGTTCTGTATTTGTTTTGAAACGTTATTCCAATTACACTCATGGATATTTGACGGTATATTTTGTATTTCTATGATATATGTACATGTAAATTTGATGTAAAACCGCAAAAGAAGGCACGACGCTAACCTATCTCTAAGGACGCAGCTATTTTTAAAGGGTCAGGCCTACATTTCATGGCGAATTATACGCACGCCACAGTGACTATTGCACTGAAAAAGCATTGCCAGTCTGAATTGATATCAGACACTTTCAAGAGTGTACTGTAGCGATTTGATGATCTTCGCTTCGTTGATGAGCTCATTGTACTACACGGACCGCGCTCTGTAGAATGAATTGCTTTTTATACCTCCAACGTTCTGGATTACTTGAATTTATGATGAGAGAGAAGCACGTTCATATCGAAAAATAAAAATTCAAAAGCTCTTAAATACTAAAGCATTTTTCAGACTACCAATTCATAGCAAACAATTTATATATTAAATAAAATGCATTTCAATAATACAATATAATGCCATGTCATTTGCTTACAGACAGACAGATGTTTCAGGGGTCTTTTTGTCTTTGGTATAAACTTTTAAGTATGTTGGTTCGAAGCAGAGAACGTATGTAGTATTTTAAACACTATGTTACAACTTCTCTGTATTAATATAAGCATATTCGCATATATTTTATTAATCAATCTAAACTTTTCATGATATTTATTCTGATCAAACAATAAGAGTCATGACAGTGTCCAATATAAAATCACCAGTAGACACCACATGTCATCCTTGAACGTATTAGGGAAATGAGAATGTATATTGGTGATATTTCAGGTTCTCACGGCAGCTAGGATGGTGTTTTTCCTGGAATGTTGAGCCATGTAGGCTAGTAAAATTTTACTGAAGTTTCACAGGTAGTTGCAGCCTCAATTATCAGGGCGAAAACTAAAGATTGAGGCAGCAAGGACCTCTGAAACGTCGGTAAAATTGTATTAGCCTACACACCGGAGCATCACAGAGGGCAGTTATCTTAAGGATTTAATCGTTTTCTTGGCAGTCAAATAGAATCTTACGAAAATTTATTTATTTTTCAAACATGTGGATCTATACAAGAAATAACAGACCACATATCTCAATTATTAATATGTAAGATTTATGCTATAGATCTTACATGCGCCAACTATGTACAGAAACATTTTGTTTACTTATGCATACGAGAAATCGAAAGGTTATCTACAGGGAATGTTTTTTAGACAAGACAGTGGAGAAGTTAACTTACTCCTTATAGGTCAGTCCGACTTAACTCGAAAAGCGTGTCATTGTTCCATCTGAAACAGCTCTTGGAAAGCTGTTGTAAAATTAATTTATGGATTTATAAATTACTATAGAAACATATAAAATAAGAATTATCTTAAAAACCTCCAGACGGCTTGAGTTAGTGACGACTGGAAAGAAGCGACACTACTTAAAACAAAAGCTAACTTGTAAGGTTGAAAAGTCAACAGAGTATCCAGAGGGTAGATCTGTTCCAGACGCTTCTTTAATGTAATACTAATTTCTTATTGATAAACTTTATCTTAATTTATGTAAATTATTATCTAGCGTTCAGGATTTAGTTTCAATAATTCCATGTGCAATTTTAATTTAATATGTCTAGTACAGTTGATAAGGAATCATTTAACAAAATTAGAGATGAACATTAGCAATGAATGTAAACGATGAAAATGTCCGATTAAAGATTTACGAAAAAATTAGAAAGTGGTTATACTCAACAGAATCAAAATGTAGTGTCAGAAGAGAAAAGTGCTCCAACTTTTCACAGATCGTTCACCTCTTCATTGCCAGATGGAAAAATCTCACGCTGATATCCGGGTTCTTATTCCGCTATGCACTCTCCATTTCCAAAAGAGCTCTGAAAATGGAAGGTCAGAGTATCCTTGAGAGGTTGAAATACTTACCTTTCGAAGACAAGGTTACTGACCGGTGGCGATGTGTTAATGTAAATCAGATATTCGCGAACTACATCCCGCTTAAAGGTTGAATCTCTACCGCGAAATAACAAAGATATCAGCACAAACTTTTAAAGCCTCGCACAAAATGCAGAGAAATGATTTTAAAGACAAAATAAAAACAATATATATATATATGTCTACAAATTTATGGGAAATTCAAGTGAGATTTCATGTTTTCATGGCGGCGAATATGAAGATGGCTGTCTTCTGGGTTGTTGTGAAAAATAGTCTGCTTTCATAAGTGCCTGATGATGTAGGCAGCAGGCAAATCTAAAACGTTGGTAAACGTCTATAATACTGCACTGGACAAAATCCAATAGTCTTCGAATATTATGATACCTGAAATCTCTTCAGAGATTCAAACCCATGAAGTCTTACATTGGAAACAGAACAAACACTTCATGCTCATGCCTGAAAGAGACAGTGCAATACAAACCACACACTTAAAACAAACGTGAAAACTGTGCAATATTCGTGATGAACATTGAAACAAGGGACATGCATACGTTAATTTTTTTTCACAACAACCGAACCTTTTTGATCTTATATTTCCTTTGTGAAGAGTTTGACAATATTTAAAATTTAAAAGTACAATATTTTTATGAATTTAGTAGGAGTTTGTTTTATTGTGACGACGTAACGCATTCACATATAGAAGCTTTGTTCACTGCAGTTTATTCAGTAGCAAAACTACTGTACACTACAAACAGGTTCGCGGGAATGTACAGTAATACCATGCTCTCTGATTATCACCTTTGTATATTACGACAGAATGGACTTTGAAGGAGTATCTTCTACATGTTTGACTTGTTAGGTCCTGAATTTCAATCAGATACGACTGCACGTATGTTCTGAGCGCAGAACTTCATAAATATACACTCACATACAGCAAATATTCTGATTCCATCTGACGTGCGGTACAAAGCACTGAAGATGCAAATGTTACCTGTTGTTTAGCATGGATGTACAACTTGTTTTCTGACATCAAGGAACGGAATCGGATTGAGGATGCATGAGAAAATTATGCTGTGGTTTACGTATGGAAAACAGTGAACTACATGACTGAAGACGAGGCAAGGCTAAGCTAATGAGACATATGTAGGTCACTGCGATTAGACCTAGATCTTAAAATAGACAGGAGCTCCATCTTTTAACTCTTCACCAAACATTATTACGATGATCATATCAAGAATAATAAGATGGGCTAAGTATTTAGTACGCATGTGGCATGAGATATGCTTGCAGAATTTTGGTTTGAAAGCCTGGAAGGAGACGAAACACGTTAAGACCTGGGCGTAAATGGGAGGATAATATTAAAATTAATTTTAGTCACTTAGGGATGGAGGTTATGGATTGAATTTGTCTGGCTTAGGATAGGGACCAGTGGCGGGTTCCTGTGAAAAACGGAAGACATGCAGCTTCACAAGAAGGACCGATTCATGGAGTTTAATCCGTCAACCACGCACATATAAACGTAAAAGTCAAACTGAATATGCAAATGTAAAACAAAGGAGAATTAAACAGACCACACATACGTATTGCTGGCGGACACTCCCTTGAAATGAGGCTATTCTTAATTTGGGTTTTCATGTTTCTTCTCAGGCACTCGACTTCAGTCGGTGACGGAGCACAATTCATGATATTCAAGAATATTTTTTCTAGCAGGTTGGTGTCGTGGTTGTACTCAGACATGTACCTTTAACTACATGGCGCAGAATAATTGAGAGGCCGATTATAATCCATCTGTTCCAAACACTTCACAGTTTTTATGAAAACATGAAGATCATTATCGTGTAGACAAGGGGCTGCAAATAGACCTTGTCCTCATCCAGAAAGACCCAGTCTAAACCACCACAATATAATAATTATTTTAATATTATCTTACCACTTATGGTTGGATGTTGAAAGCGGTCCATTCACTATTACTAAAATTTTGAAGGACATTTTTATTTCTTCTTTAAGACCCGTGAACATCGCACTTGTATGCGGGAAATACGTAATAATATCTTGTGAAGAACGCGGTCATTAAAATCGCAGCTTTGTAGTTTTTCACTTGGGAGGTAGTTGGCTCGAATCTCAGCTTGGCCAACAGTAATTATGATTGACATTATTTTCGTATTTAGCATAAACATTGTCTCCCTTGAGCGAACGTTCTCAACAAGGGAAATGATCTAGCTTCGTTATCTGTCTTTTTATATTTTTTAAAGTTTTACAATTATATTAGTGTTCCCTAGGTGGATTATTTGTTTTTATTTATATTTCTTCATTTTTTGCTCTGTGTTAATATTGTTTCTATTTTGGGTTTGCCTGTACTTGGCAGTTAAATTTAATACTGTACATGTATAAGTTTAGTTAATCCGTTTGTGTAATATTATCCATTATTATTTCACTATTATTGTATATATTATCAGTGTTTGCCTGTTATTGGCTTCTTCCTGTTGGCAAACACGTAAATAAATTAATTGAATTGAATTGAATTAATTGAATTATTATGTTAGTATTATTAGTAGTAAAATATAAAGTGAGTTCATCCACTACGAATAAAATTAAGAATGTACGAAATATGAATCAACAAATGGTAGACTAGCAAGGCATACAGCTTCCATACAGGGCTATCCAAACTATTATACTGTCTAAAAAAATCATATTCCATTCCCCACCTGTTATCTGCATTCTCATTTACTATATTTACAACTGGTATGGGAAAGTTCAGTTTGGATCATCCCAAATAAGTTTTAATGCCAACCCTAACTTCCACAGAACAATAGCCAGAGTTTGGGACAAATTGTTTGGATTAATTATTAACAGGACAGATGCAATTATAATATTTCGTAATGCTATAAATTGTGTTGTGTAAGCACGAATATCTTGTAGATAATAAAGATTTTAAACTGTGTACTATTTTCTGTGAAATTGTGCGATATTTTCGAAATAGACGCATCTGGCCCCGAAATAAAATAGATTGCTTACCCCTGTACTGTAATAGCGTAATTTATATTCAGTTAGCAGTGAGTCGCGTCTTGCAATTTCGATGTGGTGTGTATGGAATAACCAGTGATAGCAAAACATCGTGCCTGTTTCACTGCGAAGTTATATAATAAATCTACTATGGTGAAAATATGCACGCCTGTCGTGCTCATGTGTTCTGGCGGCTATCTTTATAGCGAATGTTTAATGTTACGTGAAATATAAATTCGGGATTTGAAGGTTATTTTCAAAACCAAATTTCAATATTTCCCGAATGCGTATTTTGCGATGTTCTATAATTCGTTGTAGTTAATGTATATCTGAAGGCGATACATATTATTGAGTACACTATATTTTTATAGCTCATCACACTTAAAATATGTATGTGAAAATTTATAAATCAATTTACCTTGTATGTCTGTTAATACCGCCATTATTATTTGAACAAACAAACATTTCAAATAATAATTTCATATTACAATGAAATGTGTATTTTAATTTGAGTGAATGTTTGTCCTATCATCAGCCATATTAATCCAGCCCACGACTTCCAACGCCATTTTCTTAAGATTAAATTTAATATTATAATTCCCATCTACGCCGTCGCCTTCGGAGTAGTCCTTCACTTCAGGAATTAAGGACAAAATTTTGTACGCGTTTCTCATTTCCCATGCGTGCTACAGACATCGCCCACCTCATCCTTGATTTGATTACCACAGTAATAAATTGTGAAGATCATAAATTATGAAGCTCCTCCCAATTTTATAGATGTCGTAATTTCTCATTGCTTTTCAAACTGACAGTCCTCCCTTCCACCCTGAATTTGAACAAATTGCAGCTGCTAGAGCAATTAACTTAATGGCCTGTGCGTTCGTGCGTATGAGTGTGTGTGTGTGTGTGTGTGTGTGTGTGTGTGCGTGCGCGCTTACAGGAGACAGAGTACTCCCCTCCTGAAACTCGACCAACTCACGCACCACGCCCCAGAAGAAAGCAAACCATCAAAAAGGGTGTGTCGCATACCTTTCCGTCCAACATTCAATGCACTTCTGTCTCATAGCAACCGAAGGAAAGCCAATTCGTCTTCGAGATAATACATTATAGTGTATTCACAATTACTTTTTCAGACTTTCTGGAAGACAACAGGATTTGAGTTCCTCACGGCGGTGAGTACGAAAATGGCTGTCTACTGGGTTTTGGTGCCGTGTCTGGCACAAGTTTATCAGCGCCCTGAACATGGATGCAGTAAGAACCTTTGAAACGTTAGTAAACCTGTAACAGATACATGACACTTCAACCCAGAAGACAGCCGTCTTCTGGAAGACAGCTTACAGACATTGTTCACGCTGTCCTTGGAGTGAACACAAAGAAACGTACAGCAGGAAGAGATAGAACCCTGGCCTTCAGATGGCCTTCAGCCAGTGAACAGCAAATCGGTCACCCACTTCAGAATCTGACTCAGCTAAATGTTACTTAGCGTGCAAGTGACAATGAACGACGACAAATCGTCACCGATCTTACAGTCAGGTCAACGGCAAGATAAATGACCACTTGACTCCTCCCCCTGACGCCCCATTTGCCAGTACCAGACAACGAAACCTCGGGCACTGCCAGGTTTACATGTTCTACACATGTACATATCAACTCTTATTATATGACATAAGTGCTTGATGAGATGACACAAACTCTCCGAAACGTCGACGATTTCACTCCTTACGCGCCCGATAGTGTTTATGGCACAAGGAAATGTTATTTACGTTCCTGAATCCTGAAAAACCTCATACAACCCGAGCCCAATTTTGTCCTGACAGAAGCATCATGAACAAGAATTATTTTTTTTATTTATTTAACGACGCCTTTAGTTCCCAGGAGGACACTATTCTTCCATCCTCCACAACGTCAGATCGTTACTGGAACCCTCCACAGCCTTCTAACC